GGGGAGCATGGATCTGCTTTTTCATTTTCCTTTTTATCTCTTTCCTTTCCTTAAACTTCTTTTGCAAATAAGCAGTAAGCATTTTGGAAAACAAGTCATATTTCCTAAAGAACATCTTATACAAATGCCATTAGAAAAGATACAAGAAAGATAAAATATAGACATAGTAGTATTTACCTTTCAGGAGTTCTGCTTTTCCCCAGCAATTTGCTATGGTCTTGTGGGGGAGGCTGAATCCAGAAAGGCCCAGAGGAACTTCCTGAGCCTGCCTGGAGTTTGAAAACCTGTCTTTAAGATTCAAATCCCTGGCGGTAAACACCCCCGCCCCAGGGTGTTTTTGTCTAAGGATCATTAAGGTGGTATAATAGGATTGACTAAAACCCTCTTGCATCACATCACCCCACTCCTTGCCTACATCCTACCTGTGTGCTTTGTACCTAGGCTATATAAACACCTCCCTTTGACAATAAAGTGAAATCCTGCTTCCATTGGACTCCCCATGGCATCTGATTGTCCCCTGGGGTTTGGGGAGGCTGAGTGGCAGGTGGCATACTTCCCCTCCTCAGCCAAGGCAAGCTGTAGGCAGCCTGCCTACTTCTCTGGCAGTGATCAGGATGAGTCACCCCATGGTCTGAAATAGGGGCCTGTTGTACATTTAATTTGATAGAGTCTAATCTTAAAAATGAGAAAAAAAAACAGATTATATATATTTATGCACTGTGACCTGAAGATTCCATTTAAATATGCTTGATGCCAACAAGGTAATTTTGACAAGCTCTTAAACATCTTTTTTATAATATTTTATGAAACAGGCTTAAAAGAGTATTTGTGATGAATCACTGATGAGGAAACTAAAGCCCAGATATGTGAAATTATTTAGTTAAAACTGCGAAGTGTGGGGAGCAACTGGGAACAACTTGGACTAGACTGTTACTGGAATTAAGACTTAATTCTATGCATCTGCTTTCCCACAATATGGCGCTGAGAAAGGAGAAACAGCTTCTACACAGCTGCCTCCAGTTCAACCAATAAACTGTAGGACCTACTCCTGATTGGAGGAGAGCAGCGTACTTGGCGTGTGGGTAGCAGAGTTGGGATTGGTGGAAGAGGACTATAAAGGAGGAGAGAGACAACATGCACCAGGAACATCTAAGGGGAACATCTATCTGAAGGAACACCTGTGCAGCCCCTGAGAGAGCCGGCCGGCGGTGTGCCGCTCCCCCGCGGAAGTGGGGAAAGTGGCTAGGGGGAACCGCCCTTCGGTAGCCAACCCAGGAAGAACCAGCAGCAAACCCGGGGAGGGCCGAGCAGACAAAAGAACAGCGCAGGGTCCTGTGTCGTTCCTCCATGAAGAGGGGGAGCAACACGAAGGAAATTGTATAAACAACCCAAGGTCCCACTGGATTACTGCGCAGTGAGTTCTGAGGCTGGAGGCAGTTTCCCAGCTGGATTCACAGGAAGAGCAAATGCTTTCCATTAGAATGGTTCAGGCTTATGAAACCCAAGTTTCCATTTACATCTGAAGTCACAGAGAGTCAAGGGCTGACCCAGCTGCTCCTAGTAAAAGTGTGTGGGCTAAATGAAGGGTTGCTATCCAAATGATTACAGCATGGCTGTGTCAAACTCTTAACAATAATAATTCAATAGCACAGAAAGGGTTTTTGTTTGTTTCTCCCTGTATAAGCGGTGCAGTGGCCCCAGATGTGCTGTGCTGTGTAGCATATTTTCTTTTTCCCTCAGTGAAATGCCCAACATACTAGGAGTTGAAAGAACTTCAGTTGTTCTATAGCCTGTCTCATGGTTCTTGGTACCTCAATTGATAATATTAATTAATAGTCACAGAGGGAGGCAAATGGGTTTGTAGACCTAAGAAACAACCCACAGTCACTGTGATAGTGGGAGAAATGCACAGGTTTTCTTCCTACTGAAAAGAGTCTAGTTTCTCCATCTTTGGGGTATAATTCACTGAGATTTTCCTCCAGCAGTGTGATCTGCTGACTTTATTTGTACTTTCTCTGTTGTAGTCTGGTCATATTTCATTGTTACATTCAAAGTAAAGGTCATTATGTTAATTGTTGATTGAGGTTGATGTTTTTCCGGGCAGTCCTTCTCCCTGCTTGTTGGGTGGATTGTCCTAGAGAAAGGATGAAGTATGCCTTTGAAAAGGTGGTAGAGACCAGGAGTCCCTGAGTCCGTGGTATATCCTCCATTGTTGCCTGGAAATATTTCTCTTCTTCTTATCACTTCCCCACACCTCTATATTTTGTTCCTCCCACTAATTGTCATTCAGTCCCACTTGGGAGTCCTGTTCTTACTTCATATTCATCATGTTCTCATCATTTCACCTCAGACCACAATTTCCATTCCATTTCGAGTAATTTCCATTTCACACACCCTGGGTCACAGTGGTGTCAGGTGGCTTGCTATTTATTCCATGCTACAGCAATCTCTTCAACCCTTTTTACTTTTTAACGTTCCACTTCCTACATGGAATGCCGTCTCTCAGTATTTTGCCCATTGAAGTTCCACTTCTCCTTGAAGGGGTCACACATCATTTCCATAGAAGTTTTCTCCAGCTCGTCAAGGAAGTGTTAATTTTTGCTTCCTTTTCTGGCACTTTAAATTTCCTTATCTAGAATATGTGTTATGTTGTCATTACTTATTTACCCATCCATCTTTCTTGTAGACTGGGTGCATAGGGATGACATTATGATCTCTACATTTTAGTGTCTAGCACAGTACATAGTAAAAATTTTAGAAATGTTTGCTGAGTGAACTATGGGCTTTGGTAACTTTATTAAATGGTTGGCATTAAATTTAAAAAAAGATTAGTTTATAGAACTCCAGATATTCATTCATTCATTGATCTATTTCTTTACGTAAATACATATCTAGCCACTATTATATACTAATCATGACACATAGAAATTAATATTTTAGTAAAACAATTACATAATGAAAAGAAGATTTGAAAGGTGTCAAGAATGACAGGCATCTGAGGCAGGTGGTGATGATGGAGCTGAGTGCTGCTGCTGATAAGGAATTATCTTGGGAACAAAGGGAATGAAGAGCCTTCTCAAAGGCCCTGGGGTGGGAGGGAGATAGGCAAGGTCCTGAAAGATAGGATGTGTGTCTGGAGCAGAGAGAGCAAGTGGACTTGTGATTGGAAGAAAAAGGCTGTGCCTCAGAGCATATACATATTCCCAGGCCCTTTAAGAAACTTTTTTTTATCCCAGATACAGTGGAAACGTAGTGAAAGCTGAGTGATTGTAGAGGATATGGTATATTTTGTGGGGATCTGTACTGGCCAAATGATAATTTGCTCTCTTATTGTGTGTGTGTGTGTGTGTGTGTGTGTGTGTGTTTTGACAGGCAGAGTGGACAGTGAGAGAGAGAGACAGAGAGAAAGGTCTTCCTTTGCCGTTGGTTCACCCTCCAATGGCCGCTGCGGCCAGCGCACCGCGCTGATCTGATGGCAGGAGCCAGGTGCTTCTCCTGGTCTCCCATGGGGTGCAGGGCTCAAGCACCCAGGCCATCCTCCACTGCACTCCCTGGCCACAGCAGAGAGCTGGCCTGGAAGAGGGGCAACCGGGACAGAATCTGGCGCCCCAACCGGGACTAGAACCCGGTGTGCCGGCGCCGCAAGGCGGAGGATTAGCCTAGTGAGCCGTGGCGCCAGCCCTTATTGTGTTTTGTTTTGCCTATGTAAACTTCTTCATATAGGAACTATCTCTTACATTTCCTAGAGTTCCTGGTACCTGGTATTAAGTAATAAATAGAGTAGGTAGCTGTGAGATGTGTGCTACCTCATTTATTTCAGGTTCCTGAGAATGAGAATTTATGTAAATGCACTTAGACAGAAACTGAGTTAACCAAATCTATTGGGTGGCTTAAAAGGAGATATCAAGTTTGTTAAAATAGTGAGAAATGTATATAAGGTAAATGGACCACTGGTGAACCACTAGTATCTGAATGGATGAAGGTTGTTTCATAAGTGTTGGGAAGCTAATTGCCAGGATTAATTTCAGATAAACCTGCATCCTTTGTTCAATAAAGTTGTTTAATCACTCCTGATATTTGAAGTTTTAGGTTACAGAATCCTTAGTAGGCCTTAAAAAGTTGTTTGGTCTTTAAAAGTCCTTTTTGAAAATTTAAACTCAATGGAATCTTAAAGATACATTTGTCAAGGGACATCTCTGGAACATTTTGATGGGCTCCAGATATTAAGGAAATACACATACTTGAGTTTGAGCATAGGCATCTTTGATGTGGAAGTGAAGCTTTGCAGGTGGCCAGTCCCTCAGTTTTGCCTCTGCACTATCTCCACCAGAAATGGATATTATTTTATGAATGTTTATGGTAACGGTGCCACTACCCATCACTTAAACTGCCTGGACTTTGTCTCACAATAAAAAAGAGAGCTTCTTCATCTCTTTGGCTTTGTGAAATTTAATATTATCAGGAGGAAAGTGTGATGACTTTGGGAGATGAATCACTCTGTTATATCCGCTGAGCTGGTGGAGCTGTCTTCTAGTAGCCTTTGTGTTCCAGTAGCCTTCTCACATCAACTTTCAGAAGCAAGGTCTTATTGTAAGGCTGGGATTTCCTTAGAACTTCAGTGCAGCTAGTATCAAAATAGCATTTTCTGAGCATCCCTAAAATTTTTTAGAGTTCTATTTTTGTCCCTCTACTCAATAACTTGCTAGTGGTTGAAGAAGAAATGAATGAGAAGGAGAGTGCTTGTTGAGGTTTTGGGGTTAGAGTGGTTTTTGCAGAATATTCCATGATAATTTGCAAAATTAAGATCTCTATGCATGACAAGAGCATATTTGCACTGCACACCAAGTGGGAGACTTTTCTTATTTCCTCTCAGTAACTTCTCCACTCTGTCCTGTAGACTTCCACAACATAGTTTGCAAACTCACTCATTGTACCTGTTTGAAAGAATTGGTAACTAGGGCATGCTTTGTATTGAAATATTTGTAAAATCAGTAAAACAGTTTCATTAGTAAGAATAACTACTTTATTTCCTCACACATTCACAAGAGATGTTATGGATCTTATTTGGAAATTCAATAGGTTAAAGAATCACCATCCAGGAAGAAGCATCTAATTATTTCAGCCACCACATTAGCCAAAGATGGATCCGTCCAGTGTTTACTTCTTCCTCTGAGAGGTGCTCATCTCAGATCTGGTGAATGTCTAATGGAGTATAAGCCAGTAGTCAGCAAATCGCAGGTCAAATCTGGCCAGCAGCCTTTTTCTATAAATAGATTTTTATCAGACTTAGCTGTGTCATTTGTGTAAGTACTGTCCATGCTGCTTTTGTTTTACCATAGTAGAGTTAGGTAGGTGCAGCTAAGACCGTATGGTTTGGCCGGCGCCACGGCTCACTAGGCTAATCCTCCACCTTGCGGCACTGGCACACCAGGTTCTAGTCCTGGTCTGGGCGCCGGATTCTGTCCCGCTTGCCCCTCTTCCAGGCCAGCTCTCTGCTGTGGCCCGGGAGTGCAGTGGAGGAAGCCCGGGTGCTTGAGCCCTGCACCCCATGGGAGACCAGGATAAGTACCTGGCTCCTGCCATCAGATCAGCGCGGTGCGCTGGCCGCAGCGGCCATTGGAGGGTGAACCAACGGCAAAAAGGAAGACCTTTCTCTCTGTCTCTCTCTCAGTGTCCACTCTGCCTGTCGAAAGAAAGAAAGAAAGAAAGAAAGAAAGAAAGAAAGAAAGAAAGAAAGAAAGAAAGAAAGAAAGAAAGAAAGAAAGAAAGAAAGAAAGAAAAGACCGTATGGCGTATGGCCTACAGAGCAAACACCACCTTCTCTCTGTCCCTGTACAGCAAAATTTTGCTACTCCTGGTCTATGAAACATTTCTATGTGATCTTTGGCCATTGATTAGCCTTGAACTCCTTGAATGAATTAGATCTATCAGACTTGCCCCACCCCATAACCTTAAAGGAAATTTTCAACCATTAGAAACAAGGCATGGCCTAATTTCTTATCCGGACAAATTTGGATTCATTTTTTGCAATATCATCATCAACAAGGCAAACTCTGACCATGATGTGCTGCAGAGTAGCTTCAGTTATCATTCCCACAGTATAAGCATGAGAAGAGATCATTACAAGTTTTGCTTCCATGATAAATTTTAATAAAATGTATTTATTTTCATTATATTTGTAAGGCAAAGAGATGAGAGAGTGAGAGAGTGAATGAGTGATAATGTTGTATCTGCTTACTCACTCCCCAAATGCCCATAACAGCCAGGGCTGGGCCTGGCTGAAGCCAGGAGCATGGAACTCAATCCGTATCGCCCACATGGTGGCAGAGTCTCATGTACTTGAGTGATCATCTGCTACCTCCCAAGGTACACATTTTCAGGAAGCTGGAATTGGAAGTGAATTTGAGACTTAAACTTTTCATATGGGATGTGAACATCCCAAGCAGTATGTTAACCACTGTGCCAAATGCCCACAAACAACCTCTACCCCCTGAGATAATTTTTAGACTTAATGATTTCCCAAAAGTATTTACAAGGATTCCCCTGTGTCAGACGCTTGGCACAAAGACCAAGGAATAGCTAAGCCAGCATGCTGGAGATGTTGTATTCTCCACTCCTTTCAGCAAGCACATTCTATTTTGCAATTTGGTACTTCATGAAAAAGGAGGCATTGGGGAAGCAAATGTAACCTGTACTTTGTATTCTTTGTGTCTTTGTTGGACTGCTCTTGGTTGACTTTCCCTACATATGTAAATATGGGGAATCCTGGACTCTAACTTTGTCTTTAAAAATTCATATATCAAATTCCTTGTTTGATCCTTGGAAAGGGTTCAGAAGAAATAATCTTGGCTAGTTTCCTAATATACAAACCAGAGTCTGCAAATATGGAAAAAGTTTCTCACCACTCTGATCCCTGCCCACCTGTCTCCTATCAGACATTGATATAGGAAATGACCCCCTAAAATCTATGTGAGAATGGGGCCCCTCAAAGTTCCCCAGAAGTCAAGTCTGGAACAAAGTTTCTCACCACTCTGATCCCTGCCCATCTGTCTTCTGTCAGAACTCACTAATAGATCACTGTATTCTCTCAGACAAAGCCTCAGGATCCTTCTTCTTTTTTTTTTTTTTTTTTTTTTTTTTTTGACAGGCAGAGTGGACAGTGAGAGAGAGAGACAGAGAGAAAGGTCTTCCTTTGCTGTTGGTTCCATGTAGCCACCAATAAGTAAGAATTGGCACATGAGATGGAATCCTGCCTTCCAAATCTGGCTTTACATATTTCTAAATGGGACAGTCTCCCCCCACCCCAACACACTTTAATTTCTTCCTCTTCTCCATTGATAAGACCCAGGTAGTGAAGGCAGAACTGGGATACCTGGAAGGCCAAAGCATTCTCAGCACAATCTAGAGCACAGATACAAGTGTAAGGAGACCAGATTGAGTACAGCAGGGTGCGCACTGGAAAGTCACAGGGAAGAAACCTGAAAAAGGAGCGGGGAGCCAGGTAAAGCCCAGCATCAGCACCCAGGTCAAGATGACACTGGAGGAACTGGCTCAAGTAATTATGGAAGGCACTGGCAGGTCCAACATCTGCAGTGCAGGCTGGCAATCCCAACAGGCTTTGATGATGCAGTTTGGAATCTGAAGGTAAAAGTCCTTCCTCTTCAAGGGAGCTCAGTCTTTTCTTTTAAATCTCCTACTGTTTGGATGTGGTCTACCACATTATGGAGTATTGATAATTTGCTTTATAAAAACATTATTGACTTACACTGTAAACACAGTTAAAAAGTACCTTCACAGCAACATCTAGACTGGTTGATGGCCAACCGAACCACAGCCTAGCTAAATTGACAGCATAAAATTTGAGTGGTAGAGTCATAGACAGAGAAGAGAACAGAGAGAAATGTCTTTCATCCTCTGATTCACTCTCCAGATGGCCTCAATGGCAAGAGCTGAGCCGACCCAAAGCCAGGAGCAAGGAGCTTCTTCCAGGCCTCCCACCTGAGTACTTGGGCCACCCTCCACTGCTTTTCCAGGCCATTAGCAGGAATCTGGATTGGAAGAAGAGCAGGTAGGACTTGAAGTGATGCTCATATGGGATGCTGGCACCACAGGTGGAGGTTTAGCCTATTATTCCACAGCATAAAATTGATCATGACAGTGTAGGTGATTTTACAATGGCAGACAGGTTAGTGTTTTTAAATATTATATATTTAAATTTTCACTTAAAGCTATGATTTTATAGGAATTGTTAATTAGAAGAAGTGTAATTTTTTAGTAAAGCTGAGTTGATTTAAATAAAATTATTAATATTGGATATAAATGGCATGTGGATATGGTTTTGAAAAGAACTGAAATGATTGAGAGTAGAGAAGCAGAATGGTAAGTGACATAGTTGACTCCTGCAACAATCCTGAAATTTCATGTTACAAAGTGGTTTAGGAAGATTATTTGTGATGACCTGAACTTAAGTCATGAGTAGAAAACAATTCACCAACTAATAATAAATGTGAAAATATTCTGCTTGCTATGCTAATAAAATAACCCCATTCATACACACTTTTAAATATAATTTCTGAATGCAATTTGTCCAAGCTGTTATTCCTTTTTTATCTTTAATTGCTTATGGCATTTTTTAAAATACAAGTTTTAAATTTTATATAATTGAATCAGTGAGCCTTTAGCTATATAATTCCTTTAAAGAATTTTATGTTTGGGAAGTCATTATGATTTTAAAAATATTTATTTTCATCTACTTGAAATGCAGAATGACACAGAGAGATGGATATCCTTCATCTGCTATTTCACTCTTCAAACAGCCAGGGCCAGGCCAGGATGAACCTGGGAGACTGGAACTCAATACAGGCCTTCCAAATGTGTGGCAGGGACCCCAGTAATTGAGCCATAATCTGTTGCCTCCCAGGATGCATTAGTAGGAAGTTACATCAGAAGCAGAATAGTCAGGATGTGAACCAGTACTCTGATATGAGATGAAGACTTCTCAAGTGCCATACACCCTTTCTTGGTTTTTAAGTCACAGATCAAATCTTGTGTTTGGATGGGCATTTGAAAGGATGGTTTTATTTATTTCAAATAATTTTACACTTGAAATTTCAAATATTTGTATTTGAAAGGCAGAGATGAGAGAGAGACAGAGAGAGAGAGAGAGAGAGAGAGAGAGAGGGAGAGAGAGAGAGAGAAAATTTCCGTTGTTGGTTCACCTTTAGATGCCTGCAATAGACAGTGCTGGGCCAAGCTATAGATAGCAGCTGAGAATTCAATCCAAGTCTCCCAAATCCAAAACTCTTGTATGAGATGCAGCTTTCTCAAGCAGTGTCTGAACTCCTGCACCAAATGCCTACCCTGGAAAGGATGGTTTTAAAATATTTACATTTTTATGGATTTTGGATTTATTTTGTTATTCATTATGGATGGGGCTAATTATTTTTATTTCCCTTAAATTCCTACCCAGTCACTCCTATATAATTTATTAAGCAATTCTTGACTTCTAGTGCTATAACTTTCATTTTCCAGAAACTCTTATGTGAACCAAAATCAGTTTCTAGGCTGCCTATTCTATGTTCTATATCTGCATTTTTCCCTAGTGGTTCCTTATTTTAATTGCCAAACCTTTATAATAATATACTTAAATATATTCTTTGGTCTAAGCTTATTACTTGTATTTTCCATTTAGAATTTTTTCATAAATTCCTCTATTTTTTCTTCCTTAAAACTGCAAAATATTATTAGATTCTTCAAAGCTTACATAAAATTTTCACTATTTCATTGTGAAGTTTATTCAGGCAAAAACTGCATGTTGCAAAATTGCATTAGATAAAATTTGGGACATGTTGAGTAACCTTGCCTTGGTACAAAGTGATTTATGGCCCTGAAGGGAAGAATGCTATATTATGTCTAAATTATGCTAAAACTGCTGACAATGAGTTTGCAAGCTCCCTGAGAGAAAACACACATACACATGCCTATTAAGGAAGGAAATAAATGTGAAATGGTTTCAGTTTTAAATTTGTGAAAATGAGAAAGCAAGACTAGATTTCTCAGTCACATTAGAAGATTGTCCAGTCACTTCTGGTCCTGAGTGTGTCAGACCTCTCACCTCATCATGCTTATATTAGTCCTTTGTGGATAGCGAGAACAAAAATTTTGGCTGCTTTCCAGCAAAACTTTAATTGCAGAAAATAATGTAGAAGACAATCAAAGTAATTTTCCAGATTTTTAAAGATTTATTTATTTATTTGAGAGGCA